ACTCCTTGACGAAGGTTTCTCTTTCTCCTTTCATTATATTTCCTAAATCTAACTTCTCTCGGAATTGATGACAGTCATGAAGGACGACTCCACGCCGCTCATGCTAAGCTTAGTAAACGTAGGGCTTGAGTGCACCTTTATGTTAATTAACTCTCATTGTTAGATTAAGGATTTCCTTGAAACTACTACTTGCCATTGTATTGTTTTCTATTTTATTTTGGAAGCTTCAAATCTCTTGCCACGTGATTTAGCCTAAGCGGGTGTGGCCCTTTATTTGTTTTGATTTGTCATTTTAAACTGCTATGACTTTTGTTCTATAATTATTCTAATCAAGAGTTGTGCAAAATCTAAATGAACTAAAGCATTTCATACTTAGTCCTGCATCAGTTAAAGACCTTGATCATGGTGTCTTGGACACCAATCATGCATGGTGGTAAAGGCATCATCCCCCTCAAATGTCCCGTACGTGGGAGTAGCAGTGGAATGATCTTGAAGTTTTCATTGAACAAACTTAAAAAGAATAAAATTAAAAGGGATTTCTGAACAACAATACGACAAAAATAAAAATGAAAGATTATGCAGTCACAAAATAAGAACAAAAATAAATACTTAAAGTATGATACACATCACGACAGAAGAACATAAATTTAATCATAACAATATTATAACAGAATAAAGCAAGATTTACAATGAACTCAACATGTCGATGAACATAAGTAGGATCTCCCATTGAACTCTTTGAATTCTATGAACTGTGGATTAAAAGTGGATTGTGAAAATTATCAAGTGTGAGCCTATATTATGGGCAAACAATTGTTACAAGTAGGGGTGTCAATTTGGGGTCACGGGCCGGGTTTGGGTCGAACTTGGAACTGACACGACCCATTTTTGTAAACAGGTCGGTTTTTCAGACCCGAACCCGACCAGCGGACACAACAACGCTGGCAGCGGCGGATCAGCAGGCCGACGAGCGGGTCAGCAGCAGCGGGTCAGCAGCAGCGGTGGGCTGGTGACAGCAGAAGTCGGTGGAAGCAGGCCAACGACTGATGACAGGACGCGGGGATGGCAGACAGGCAGGTCAACGATCATCTCAACTGGTAGGTCTGGGATGCGGCGCGAGGCTTTGGGACGCGAGCAGGCAGGCTGGGAAGCTTCGGTCAGGCGTGGACAGGTCCGGTCAGCGCGGGTAGTGCTGGTCATTCCAGGTCAATCTCGGGTTTCCGAGTCAACCCAACCTGATTTTTAAGGCTTAAAAAACGTAACCCGAATCCGAACCCAAAATTTCCGGGTTGGATTTTTAATTTATGTCAAATATTGACACCCCTAGTTACAAGATGAAATGTAGTTCAAAATTATAATTTCTCTCAAGTCATGCAAGTGCATTGAAAAGCTTGCATGCTCTCTAAATTGTGCTCAAAATTTGAAATGCCCTACTGCAAACACTTTTATAAACATGACACCATTTAAAAGTTAAAATTTACAAAAGATCTAAAATGATGTGTGTTATCTTCAATTAAAAGCAACTTCTTACGTGCATTCCAATAAGCACACCAATATCAAGTTCAAAATCACAATAATTCTTAAGTCATTAGAAGAACTTGAAGCCAATATGAATTCAATTTATGCTGCTCTGAAAAGCGTGCAATTTTTCCAAGCGATTTGTGGTTACCTTAAAAATTGTGCGAATTAATTTTTAAACTCAAACTCACTATGTTGCAAGCATGCTCTTGAGCGACCTTCCCTTATCTAGGGCTGGATCATAAGTTCTACTTTTCTAAGTCTAATCCTTTATGCCCTAACAGGATATAATCGACGAAACTTATTCTCCTAACATGTGGTTTACTTGACAAATTCAAAAGAGTCACGATTAAAGTTAAATTTTCTATTTACAATATAATCAAACAAGCAAAGCATCATCGGACTTGAGATCAAACATGTGATCATGAATATCATTTAAACTATTTTGTTCATTGTTGTGAGTTCCTTGGGGCTTTAGGCATAACAACGGTTTCTGTTCGCATTCTTAATGAACTTGTAAGTGCTTCATAATTTCTTGTAAGTTATGTATTTTAATATATTATTCAATATTTTTCTCTTTTAGGGTTACTTGTGCTGCACTTTTAATATTTAACAGTGTATTCATATTGCATTTAGTGCATTTGTTCATTTTAATTTTCTTGTGTGAAATTTTTAAGAGTTAGTACAATCAAAATTTCAGCATCCTCTTGACGTCTCCGACACATATGGGCCACATGCATGGGAAGTTGCAACAAATAAATTTCCCGATCATGTCCCAAATGTCTCTAACAAATTTCCTCCTGCAGGCTAAGAAAAATATTTATGAGCTTCTACTAGCTGTACTAAATGCACTACAAACATGGTTCACTAGTGATCTAGTGACTGTCGTTGTTGAGCTTCCTCTTGTCCTGCTAAGAAAAATGTGTACCAGATTCTACTCGCCGTGCCAAATGTGTCGCCAAAAGGTTTCGAGGGTTTACTCATGGCATCGTGAACATCACTGATGAGCTTCCACACGCCACACTGATAAAAGCGTAGTATATGATTGTAAATTTTAAATCCCAATATATATTTGCTCCTACTATACGCTTTGATATTTAGTGTCTACTTAACAACTAGTTTTAATTAAAAGTTCTCTCCCTGAGGGTAATTGATTATAAGGGTCTGCGCCTATGAGAAACTTGGAATCAAATCATTAAGTCATCACAAAATAATGGCGAAATCTCTAAATAGTGTCCCATCTTAAAACTAACATGCCTTGTGAAAATTTAACTAGGAACATCGGTTCAAATTATGCCGACTCGCAAAAAGGTGGTGACTCGAATTTTCAGAGCCCATTAACAAAATAACTAGGGGAAAAAAACATAGACTAATTCTATAGCACACATACAATGTGAACTCAATTTTTTTGTTGGTTTCAGCACTCCAATGTGGAAGTAGCTCACTTTTTTTTGCGTTCATATGAGCACACTTTGATAAAATCGTTGCTTCAACCTCATCACTTTACTTTGTGCCTTTGACGCATTGCTTGTAATATTCTCTTTTAACCCTGTAAGTTATTGATAGCATACCAGCGTTAAAAGTTGCTTGTCATTGATGGATATAGAAATGAGCCCCTGCGGCTACGCCATTTGGTTACTAAGAGGAATCTATTGAGGGATGGGTGGTGCCAAAAGAGTTTGGCTACGGCATCTCTTCAGGAAAATATTGTAAAATATATTGATATGCGTCATACTTAATAAAGAAATACCGAGTCACTAACAAATAGTTAATTGGCAGAAGGACAGGGCTATCGAAGTGGAGACTTGTAATTGTGGAAGCTTCATGAACTTGATATGACCTATTATTTTTATTTAAAATTGAGATCAGCAAGACTGAGGAGATCACATACACCATTGGCTGATGCTTTTGAAAGACTAATGCCGTGGTAGAGCCACTTATTCTCACACGTCATTCATCATTCATTATAAAATTTGAATAACTAAAATTCAAAGTAGCTAAAAGTCAGACATGAAGTAATTGGAGGTCTTTCCCCTTCTTTAGCAGCCGAAGTGGTGAGCTTCTTTCATCAATAAAAACAATTAACCCAAAAATTTAGTCATCATTCGTTCCACCAAAAGGGAATTTCTGCAAATCATAATTTCTAGTAGATTAAAGCTCGATTGTTGGAAGACTGTACAGAGTGCCAGCTATGCTACTACTAATGGCTTTTAATGAAAGCTGGAGACTTGTTTTGTTCCCTGTTCTTTTTAGCAAGCTCCACTTCGAAAGAAGACAATTCTTATGGGGAGAGATTATTCTATGCGGAGACCGGACGCAGAACGCCATCCAGAGACCAACCAGAATGAAATCATGTCAGCAGTACCTAGTAGCGGTACCGAGAAATACCGAGCCGCGGTACCGAGTAATACCGAGCCGCGGTACCGAGCAAGCTATGTTGCACTGATACAGATATGACGACACATATACGGATACGGGACACGTGAATTCTTAAAAATAAAAGATACGGGTATGACACGGACACAATTTTATAATTTATAAAGCATACATAAAAATTAAGAAAGCAATCAAAGCATAATATTTGAAATTACAAAAAAAAAAGTAAATCATTTGTAACTTGTGCTTATAATATCCCCCCCAAAAAAATTCCCCAATCCTCGGAAATGAGGAACTCGCTCGCAACCATGGAAATAATAACGCGTCTTTTTTTCAATTTTTTTTGTTTTCAACGGACACGATATGCGTGTCCTTTTGAAATTAAATAGTATTTTAATGGATACGATTTGTCGTATCTCGACACGTAATCGGTGGTATCATAGGCGTATCCGTGTATCGGTGTATCAGATACAACACGCTTTCATAAAAAGAGTCTATCGGTGCACAATAGCGAACAAGGGTGATGTGGTGCATTTGATTGGTCTCCGGATGACGTTCGGCGTCGGCACAAAATAATTAATCTTAACAGTCATTTGCAACATATTATTAATATATATATAATTATATATATATATATATATAATTATAAATTATATATATTATATATAATTATAAATATATATAATATATATATATTATATATATATAGGGTATATATATATATATAATTTTCTTAGAATATTCTGAATGGAATGATTATAACTTTATGCTAAAAACTTTGCGGCAGTAAAAAAAACATTGATGGCATGGGTTTTCTAGACAAGATATATCCTTCTTGTATCTTCAGAAGTTGGAATCCATAATATAACATTTCTAAGCTCATCATGGTCTGAACTGTTGAAGTCAAAATGTAGGCGTCCATTATAAGGACTGAGACTTTTGTTTTGTGTTGGGTGGATATTTTTTCATACTATCCATGATCTGGTTTTCCGTGTTCAATAGAAGAAACAGGACATGCATAATTGATTGCTGGACTTGGGAATAAGCCCTATTACTTAGTACCTATTACTGACTATTTGCATGATAAAATGGTTGTTCACTTTCAGATACCAGCAGCAGAAACACCTAATAGACGTAACTGAGATCTTTAGTCAGCTCAATGAAGAGAAGAAGCGTCGTCTCATCAAGCTTATCTATCTAGTTACCCTTCTCTTCCTGTCCTTGTTCTGGTAGATAAAACTTGTTTTATTTTATAGGAGAAGAGATCTTCCTAGCTTGAGCTAATGACAAATGAGCTTTACTGTGTTTTATGCAGGATGATATGGAGTGTTTTGGAAGATGATTAGTTGTGAAGGTGGATACTCTGGATGTTTGCTACCCAGGATGCTTGGTGAGTGACAATTAGATTGAAATCACTAATGATTTTTTTTTGTTTAGTTATTAAGAAATAAGTTTTGTTTGTGTTTTTTAATTGTTTTTTATTTTTGAAAATTAAATCAAATTGTTTTTAAAAGTAGTCAAAAATAACTTTTTAGGTGTTTTAATTCTCTTAGAAATGAAAACTATCCTAGCCAGTGCCTGCTACCACCGACCACTTATCACCATTGCGCTTAGTTGCCGTCGTCTTCTACCATCTCGGCCTTATGCAAATCCACTAAGGCTTCATTTGGGATGGCTTTCTTACTTCTTCTTAAAGCAGCTATTAAGTATAAAAAATTAAAAAATTTTAATTAAAAAATTACTTAAGAAGTAATAAGAAAGTTGTCCCAAACGAAACCTTAAGACTATTTGAATTCTAGAAATTTGAATGAAATGAAATGAAAAATGAGTTAAATAATCTCAAATCAACTCAAACTATTTGTATTTCATTTCATTTCCCCACTTTTCTTCCATTTAAACAAAGCCCAAATGGACAAATCAATCGCTATAGATCCAAGTCATCAGTCAACTGTCTTGAAAGTTACGTTAATGATGCGTTCTTCTCTCACTTATTGGTGGTTTGGAATAATCTCCTGCCAAGTTCAACCAGTTTGAAGTAGATTTACTATCAAAACGCTCCAAAAATTGTCCAGAATCAAAGATTTTCCTCCTAGGTTTTGTTTGGGACGGCTTTCTTACTTCTTCTTAAAGCAGTTTTGTAGTAAAAAATTTTGAATTTTTATATTAAAAAACTGTTTTAAGAAGCGGTAAAAAAACCGTCCCAAACAAAACCTTAATCTGAACAGGATGGACTAATCACCTGTATTGATTCCTTTGTCTTTTGCTGTTCATGAAGCAGGCTTGTATTCAAAGCTATAAAATTTCCCAAGCTCCCAGAAATTGGAAGGAGAACCGAGCATAGACTTCTGATTGCCATTATGTGCGTTATGGAGAAAGCAAATTCTGGCTTTACAACTATTGAACATTCATGTTTGAACAGTCCTTAGCAAGCTGTGCCATTTATATTCTTTGTTGAAAGGAAATATTCACTGAACCTTCTCATTTTCTTTTTTTTCTTGTTACTATTTTCTTTGTGGAGTTGCATGCTTCTATTGTTATAGTTTTCTTATTATTTTTAAGAGCATGTTTTATGCTTTATTTGGGACAGCTTTTTCATTATTTTCTAAAACAGTTTGTTAGTATAAAAATTTCTAATACAAAAATTGTTTTAGAAAATTAAAAAAATTATTAAAAAAAAAACATTAATTAAGAAAATTTTAAAAGCAATACAGAAATAATGGCCAAAAAAGTCCCAAACAAAACTACAATCCTCTTACATATGAACATCTTATGTTTCTTTTATAGGACTTGTTTATTGGTTTAATATTTGTCTTATTTATGAAAAGAATTTTTTGTTGATATTATTTAAATTGAGATGATTTGAATAATATTAATAGTCAAGATTGATTGATGTAAATCTAAATACCATTACGATTGGATGTTATTTAGATTTAGGTTTTGTTTGGGACGACTTTTTTATTGCTTTTAAAAATAATTTTTTAGTACAAAAATTTAATAAAAACAATAAAAAATTAATGATCAAAAGCTGTCCTAAATAAAATCTTAGGCTTTATTTGAGACAGGTTTTTTTATTGTTTTTTAAAGTAATTTTTAGAAAAAAATTATTTTAATAAGCATTAAAAAAAGTTGTCTCAAACTAAGCTTTAGATTATATTAATGACTGATAATAAAAAATATATTAGTTATTATTATTTATTTTAAACAAGATTGATTGTCAGTTGCAATTGATTTAACGAGAGAGAAAGCACCATTTATTAATTTATTTTTTGAAGTTTTTCCCCTAAAGTAAAAAGAAATCATTAGATTTAGGACATGTTTGAGGAAGCTTGCTGACTCTTTTATTTTTCAGATAGTAATTATATTATTATTATTATTGGAAATTTTTATGATGAAAATTATTTTTATAATTAAATTTATTAATGTATGGAAGATATTAAAAAATTATTGTTTGATTTTTTTAAAATATTTATATAATACCTATAATAATTTAAAAAATTATTTTTTCACACTAATTTTACAATCACCCTCCTGAAATAAACCCTTAATTAGGGCGTCTAAATAAGCTGCTTTGCAGGCTAAAAAATCAAATGATAAATAGCCAAATGTGTTAATTGAAAACCATGCGATTACTAGGAATATAAATAAATACATTATATTTTGAATGGATTGAAGTGTGTTTTAATGGGTAGATAGCCTCATGATTATCTATTAATTCGAGCTTATCTTAATTAATGATGAGAATTAAGTTTTCATTTGGGACAAATTTTTTTACTACTTTTTAAAGTAACTTTTTAGTTTAAATATTAAAATTTGTGTACTAAAAAGCTGCTGAAGCAGTAAGAAAGTCGTCCCAAATGAAGACTAAGGCTTCGTTTGGGGGACGACTTTTCTCTTGCTTTTTAAAATAGCTTTTTAGTACAAAAATTTTGTGAATTTAAAATTTTTGTACTAAAAAAGCTGTTTTAAAAAGCAGTACGAAAGTTGTCCCAAACGAAGCTTAAGTTAAATGAGCTAAACAAATAGGATTAGCCAATTTGATGCTCTGTGTTACAGATAAAAGAAGTTTCTTTAGTTTATTTTTTATTTTAATTTTTTTTTTATTGAAATTAATGGGTTAAATGTTGTTTTTCCTATAAATGATTAGCTTTTCATATAAAATATATCAGGAATGTAATATATTTATTAAATATTTATATGAAATCCATAAGATAAAAATTTTATACTATAAAAAATACATAAATTTATTTATAGTTTTTTTAAAGTTAAGAGTCTTAATTTTTTTTTTAAAGTTTACAGTGGACAGGTCTGGTTTAGGTTTGAACCAAAGTTGGCATGCCCTGAATTTGTTTGACCCAAATTGATCTGATTATTATATGGATTAAAATGTTTGATTTAAACTTGATTATGCTCAAGCCTACCTAACTTAAACTCGAGTGATTCAGCCCGTTAATTATATGGATCGTGCAATTTATTTAGATCAATACGACTCATTGAAGTTGAACACAAAAAAAAAAAAGTTGAACACAACCCGTTTAGTAGGAAAATCATTGGATTAAGTTGAAATCAAATAATACTCCTAGTCAATTTTGAGACTGTTTTGAATTTGCGGGTCAACTTGCACCTAACTTGAACTTTTGTTAGGTCACTGTTTCAAAATAGAACGTATATTTTTTTGAGTTAGATTCGTGTCAGGTCATTTATTGACACAGATTCGTGTCAGATCATTTGTTGACACATTTAAGATAAAGAGCGCCAGCTTTGATAATGGTGACAGAGGGTGTCATCATTAGTTATTACGACGAGTAATTGGCATTGATGTCCATGTTAGAAATTTACCTTATTGGAGTGCATTTGTCTTAGAGGTGAAGGCGGGTGCTAGCAATGGTGAGTATCAATGTTACTGTTGAAGACAAATATCTACTTGTTGGCAATGATGAGAATCAACATTAATGTTGATGGCGGATGTTGACCTTGTTAACTACAAAAGGTATTAACATTTATGGCATATATCTTGTTAGTGATGACTAGTGTTGGAGTAGTTGATGACAATGGCTTTTGCATTGATTACATTGGCATATTCCATATTTAATGGCGATGATACAAGTCATTTTTGGTAGCCATAGCAAGCGTCATTATTAATGTTGATTGATATTTTCATTTGATTCATCTCATCAAAAACTTATTTTAATTGTAAGTACATAAAATTCAAAGGACATTTAGCCCCTTAAACGAAAATTTCAACTATACTTTATATATAATGCTAGCTTTATGTTCATTGGAACTCTAATCAAAATATTCTTTGTATTGTTAGCTACCTCTCATCTAAGCACTCATTTTACTTAGAAATTTTTTGAAAACGAAGTTCAAAATGATCTTCTTAGAGTTGATTGAAAAAAATTTAATATATTTCATCACTAATTAATACTTGTGATTAGTTGATTAATACTAAAGAATCACTTAAAATTTAGATTTAAATAATCAGAAGATGTTGCTAATATGTTCAAGGAAGAGGCCATTCATTAAAAAAAGAGTACATAATTTAAATTACTTATGAGGACAAAAGTAATTAGTCTTTAGTGAATACACGGACGGAAGTTAGCCATTCCCAAAGTATTGGTAACGATTAGTCAAAAGTCTTTCACATATCTTCTGAACTTAGATTTGATCGACAAATCTTTCTTTTGAATTTTGACCTTTTATGTACTGATTTCAGCTGTAGTTTGTTCTCGTTAATAATATGAAGCGAAAGTCTTCTAATAATTATTATTATTATTATTTTTAACCAATATATTTTACATATTATTTACACAATTATTTATGATCAGCTTCTTACTTTTTTTTTGAAGGATATTAATCTTACCCAATATATTTTTTGAAGGAAGATAAATGACTAGCTCGTGATAAGATTCATGAGCATCTTAGCCCTTTCGCTACAGGAATTTTATCTGCTTTCGACTAAAATTTCGCCGGTAATAAACTGTTTGACCGACTAGGTCACAACTAGAATCATATGAGCATCTTAGCCCTTTCACTATAGAAATTTTACCTATTTCCAAAGGAAATTCCGTCAGTAATAAACTGTCCGACGGATATTTTTTGTTGTAATTTATATCTTCAATGTGTCATTTTGTGTAGTGTTTGATAATCACTTAGCATCTTTTTTTATGCCTTTATTAATTTGAAAAAAAAACTCAAGTGTATAAATAAGCTCCAAGCACTAGTCTATTATGACCATTAAAACATTATATGAAAGTCCCGTTGAAGGGCTCCATTTGGAATCTCTTAACAACCTACCTGACAGAAGTCACAGCTTGTCTGTGATAACATCGAATATGCCTATCCAAACAAAGCTTCTAACAATCATTTATGATGCTACAATCTCCCATATCAAGCAAATTAATGAATGTTGGAAGATAGGCGATACTTATGCATATAGAAAATAGAAACAATAGAGAAATAGATAAGATGATTAAGATTTTGTTTGGGACAATTTTCTTACTACTTTTTAAGTAATTTTTTTAGTAAAAAAATATTTTAGAAAGTAGTAAAAAAGCCGTCCCAAACGAAATCTAACATTATCATATGTGCTTATTACATTAAATGAGATTTTCTATGAGGAAATCAATCATAATGGTCATTGAAAATGTTAATGTTCTTTGCATAACCTAATATATTTTTAACATTATTTTCATAATATATGCCATACAAATATGATATCAGCTCATCATCTTATAAGAAGATACCATGTAAGGAGGAGATGTATCTTTGGTCTAATTTAACATGACTGAAGGAATCAAGTGGCATTATAATAAATAAACTAAGCCAAATTGGACAAAAAAATCATCATCTCATGATAAATAATTGTGTAGGAAATATGTTGCAATTATATGTATATATATCCATATATATAATATTTCTCATGATTATGTATTGGTTGCAATTTGCTTTGATCATATAGTTTATCAACAAAATAAATCTAATAGTTTTTTATTTCAATATTTTGTATACTTTTGATAAAATTGTTTTTTTTTTTTGAAATTGTGTGGGAACTATATATGCTTTAATTTCTTCATTGTTTTTTTTTTCATTTAACTAATTTACATTGTTTTTAAGTGAAAATAATGATCATACTACCCAAAATTTTTATATTTACATATCTAACATTCTATTCAGATACAAGAAAAACAAGAATTTTGAGATATTTCAAATCTTTTAAAATATTATTTTATACATCATATGCATCAAACTAAACACCAAAATAATTAAAATGTATAACAAATAAATATATTAATATTAGGCATCTAATTCATTGGACGAAACAATCCCTTGATGAAATAAAAAAAAGATTAAGTGCTGATATTTTATTTATTATGCTCTTTGAAATCTTGGTGGTATTATTATACATGAAGGCAATTATTAATTTTACAAATCTATGATTTAGAAGTTACCTATGGCCCCTATTTTTAATCCTCTCATATTTCATTTTTAAAATTTTATTAAC